CGAGCTAACGAATATACGCTAGAATATTACGATCATAACATCATCCGAGCTAAGCAAGACAAATTTTTAGATGATGATCGCTTCGCTAACCCACAAATCACAGAAAAATTCTTCATCAAAACACCATATGTATTTACACTCAATATATTTGATCGCAAATTCGACCACGTCCTTTCTGAAGCACTAACCGACATGCAAGCTTACGAAAGTTTTAAAGAAAGATTTCAATTATTTTCACTAACCTTTAATTTTCTTGCACCACATGAAACACATATACATATTATCGTTTCATACAAAATCATTTTGACCTGCACACTCCATCAAGACAACCACACCACCGTTTTCAGTTTATTAACTCTAAATACACTTCACCATTTTTCCTTAACTTCACATATTGCATCAAAATTACTAACCTTCACGGTATTCTTCGCAATTATGGTCCCATAACCCAAATGTATATTTTTTGTCCCATCACGAAGACCCTTAATGCAGAAGAATCCAGACCCTTCCTTATCCCACATGAATTTATTCAACCTATAGAAATCCCAATATTAGAATTCATCCACAACACTAAATACAATCACAAATTATATAATCTCATCCAAAACACACCTTATGAGTTTGCAGTTGGCACTGAAGAACTAAAAACCATTAAAGCACTTCAATTGCTTTGGCCACTGCTTCAAACTAAAAACATCATTCGCATACTAGCAAAATTACTAACAAATTCCGACATAATACACGACATCTTCCCCACGGTTTTTTCCCCGACGACTAACAGGTAAGTATAATTTAAACATATTCTTCACTATTAAATTCAAATACAAAAACTAACCATTCTTTATCCATGTCTCATTTAGATTTTTAGTCTTCATCCCACGATCATCTGCAAAAAACACAAAAGAACAATAAAAACTAGAAAACTTCTTCAAATTCTTCAAAACTATATTAATATTTTGCACCAGCAAAATTAAATAAAATTCATACCAATGTAGTAAATTAATTTATAAATTGTTTCCCCACAAGCAGTAAATCTAATAATGATGAAAATTTGTAACTTAATTTTTCCCCAAAACTAGCAGTAAAATTGAAATTGTATGCAGTAAATTGATATGACGAAAATGCAGTACTAACCTTTTGATATTTTCATTCATTCGCACAAGAATTCTATCCAAGCTCGTACAGCTCGCCCACGAAGAAATGTTTAAATAATGAATTTCAGTTTTAAGTTTTCACACTCAACAACTCTAACACACGATAACAAGTTTCAAACTTTCCTTTAACCCGGTTGGAAAGGAATTATATACTAAACAAAACTAACCAACGCAGCTTACTAAACACCACAACACATAGAATAACAGCATGACTAAGAAAAGGAAACCAACGGTACCCAAACCGGATTAACCCAGTTTAAAACTGGATAATTTATTCTTTTGAAGACTATTATAAAGTCTAAGAAAGAAATAATAAAACACAAAAAAGTCGGAAGACAAACCCATACCAAAAATAATTTGATTTTTGAAAAAAGGACACAACCAACGAAACATAAGAAAAACCACCACAAACCCGACATAAAACGTTATCACATAACAGGACCTGTCACAGAAACCGCACGAAATCATACTCCCACTCCTGGCCTAACCAACCAGAGAGGACGTCCTGAGCATGCTCTGTAGCCGGCCTAACCTACCGCGCTACATCCACGCTTTGTGATCACACTTCTATTTTTAATAAGAGGTACTCAAGGGTGAGTAACTCTTCAAAATAACCGAACTAAAACAAAAAGATTTTGTGAAAACAAATAACCAAAATCATAATTAAAACACTGAACTAATAAAAATTTTAGAAAATGTAAATTATACCTTGCAGTATATAGATCAGCATACAACACCAAAGACAAACATCCAAAGACAAAATGACCCCACTAAACTCGAAAAAGAATGGCCAACCACAATCAATATGCCGTCCACAATCACAACTCAAAGGATTTAGAGTACGACTTGACTTCGCAGAATAGGACTTCATTGAACTAGACCAATGACCACCTCGATGTTCAAGTATACGTACAGATCCGAGTACCCAGGCATCCCCTCCACGCACAATCTCCACGCCATTCCCAGACAAGGTCAAACACAAAAGAAGTTCTCTACATGAAACAGAAAAACCTGTCATAGCCAACCATTCTGAAATCAGATTTGAGTTTGTTGCGAAAACCCAGTCGTTGCCATAAGAAGACACAACGATTGATCCTGGAACTCCTCTAACAAGAGAACTCAGAAGAAATATGATGTTCGCCAAATACCAACGTCCATCATCCATCCTTTGAATTGCAGAAAGACAATTCTAAAAAACTCTGTAAAACCCGGATGGGTGGAACCTGATCTAAGCTACATTTTATGATTGGATAAATTAGATATTTTACCACTGTAAAGTATTTAATATTAACCAATCATGATCCATCTAACTAACAACCCATTTATTTGTAAGTGCTGAAATTACTTGTAATTTCAGCACCAGAGAGATTTGAATTTAACTTAGAAATTAGTTGCCTCTCCAAGAGAACTTCAGCAGCCGCAATAAACCAGTATACCCTAGATCTATTGAGCCTAGCAGAGACTAGTTAAACAACCTGAGACTAGATAGTATAAGAGTAAGATTAGGATCGGTATTAGACTAAGAAGTTGCACGAATCTATCCGGCCGAAAATAAGATAGCGTGACGAGCAGACGGTGTACCCTATCCGAAATTACTCTATGAGTTAACCACATCGGTTATAACTCAGGACTTCAAAAAAAACTAAAGGGGTATTTGAATTCGTGGGTCGTTTTCTGCCTCGGCTCGGTTCTGAGGTAAGGTGCAGCCGGCTGATTGACAACATATCGTTCCATGCGCATATTAAACGTTACTATCAGAAATTGCAAAACAAAAAAGAATGTTAAAGTTCCACAAAATTGGCATTTAAAAGCTCATTTCAATGTCATGAAATATGCAAAATGAAAACTATAAAACACCAATTTTAAAACATCGCCTAACAAACTTGTGAACTTTGTTTCGATTTGTCTTTTGAATTTTTTCACTTACTGTTTTTTTTTCAGTTACCAGAAAAATCAAAAATCTCGACCTTGGTTTTGCTCGCTATTTGTTTAGCGAGAACAGAGTCGTTAAATATTTAGAAGTATTTCCGAACTACAGTTTACTTTGTGATCAATTTTGAATGTGTACGTTTTTCATTGAATTCTCCACTTGATTGTGTTTCGTTTCGAGCATTCTATTGAGACGGAACTACTGTTCTAGATGATTCATTCAGTTTTTGTACCTATCCTAAGTAATGCAGAGACGTTTAGGCGGGAATTTGGATCGTTTTTCTCAAGCAGGCAACTGAGTTTTCCAAGGTGAAACGTTAGCTGCATCTGAGAATATTGATTCCACGAGGTCACAAAATGGCTCAGCAGCGATCATTTTTTGAAAAAAAAAGTGGTTACTTGAAGGTTGCCAAATCGCTAGTTTTTTGGTTTTTGATAAAATATCGATTCAGCTGAAATTTTATAAGACTACAATTAAAGCGCAAATTTTGGGCTCAAGTTTTAATTGAAATGTTTTCTGTTTCCAAGTATGAGACCGAAATACATTTTAGCAAAATTGTGCCAAACTCTGTTTCTTTTACCTTTTCTCTCCAAAATGGTCCACAAGTTTACATGATAACTACTCGAACATTAGTAACCATTCGATATGAAAATAGTACATAGAGCTCCGTAAACAAACATACAAAACGATAAAAACATACTTTTAAAAGTTTTTTTTTCTGCTTAGGTGCGATAGACAAGAAAAGAAAAAATGACAGTGCTAGTGGAAATAATTAGATTTGCTTATAGCAGCGTCTTTAAAGCAAAACCGAAAATCAGTTCAACAATGGTAAAAATTAAACCTCAACACAAACTGTGCAAAACCAAATCTAAAAAAAAACAAATATGATCATCATAATTTATTTTATACTAACACAAGTTTAACTTGTTGATATGCAAGCAGGACAAATGTATTTTCAAAAAATACAACAACGACAATTTTCAAAAAAAAACGACATTAAAAAAAATTTCTTTTGATAGACAGTTATTGAGTTAGATAAAACACTGCCAAAATTAGAAATAACTTCAGCTCAAAATTTGATCAAGTTGTACCTAAATTAAAATGAGGCGTAGCTTCCCAGCAGTTTTCTTGTTGCTTAGTTTGAAAATCAATAATATTCACAACAACTTTTCTCGAAACTGAAATGAGCTCATTTTTTTTGTAGAACAAAATTAGGACCAAAAGGATACTTCAGTTTATTTTTTTGTGGCAGTCAAGATTATAGCTGGAAAAAATTAAGAAAAACTGACCGTACGGCATAGCGCCTTCCCACTTCTCGAAGAGACCGAATAAGAAATTAGTGTGATTCGAATAAATTCAAATCTACTGAACGGTGAATATTGGCAAAGAAGATCCGTTTTTTTTGTAGAGGTGATATAACTTTCGAGCAAACCACGCCATATTTTCTTACTGTCGAGCTTATCTCAATTCTGTGAGTTCTAAGCAATTGTTTAACAATTATCTGAGTTTGCTAATCCTTATAATGTCAGTAACATTAAAATAGCGACACAAGTTGTTACTATTCAAAAATATTCAGACTTTTCTGGACTCGAAGTTAAAGACTTTCTTTTTTTTTGGGACTGGAGTTCAAGTTATTTAATGTCAAGACCAACAACAATTATCTTTCGAAAACTTTATTTTTAACTTCCAGGTTATACAGAAGTTTGAGAATTGAGTACATTACTTTTAATACAGTTAATTCATAACTTACTTGATAATAATAAAAGATATAATTTTCAAATGGCTCAGAAATGTTTCACAAAGTGCGAAAATTCCATATGCAGCTGTTGCAAAACAATAGCCAAATCCCAAAAAATATTTGTGTTAAATCAATTCATTTCATCTTGGTTCAAAAAATTCCCATCCTGATAAAAAAAAGTTGTAAAAAATAAGCCATTGAGAAAGGTTTTCTTTTTAAATGATGCCATGTAAACATTATACCAATTGGGCAGTCACATAGAGAGTCATTTGAAGAAGATTAGTGGAGTTTCTTGATTTTATCTCTCAATTCATCAACTTTTCACTCCTCGCACGTATCGTTATGGTTTCCAGTGGTCTGGATGCGTCCCACAAACCACCCCTTGAAGTCCCAAGAACCAGAGTAAGGATCGGGGAAAGACTCTACATCCATTTTCAGACTCAGTTTCAGTCCAATGGAAGGATCGCTTCTGTGTGGTACCACGCGACAAGCACCAGAACCTGAAAAGTTACAAAATGTGAATGATAGGTGTCTAGTTTTGGTAGAGATTTGATTTTGAAGTTTTCGCAAATACTTGATACCCGAGTCGAGATTTTTCACCTAATTTGAAGCAAGATTTGAACGGTTTTGAGCGGTTTATCTAAAAAAAACCGCTCAAAAACCGCGCAAGATTTAATACTAAAAAGTCGACCACAGAGGGATTCGAACCCGCAATCTTCTGATTCGAAGTCAGACGCCTTATCCGTTAGTCTATGCGGACTTGATAGATGCTTAATATTCGCTGTATTTGTTCTACTGAATATGTTCAATGTTTTAGACATGCACAACAAATATACTGTCAGGATTTTTATTGTCAGTCTCTACAAAATAACAAAAATAATCGATTATAAGATCGCACACCAACCCCCCCCCCACCTCTTACTAGAGTTGATGTCCCCCCTCACCTCTTACTAGAGTTGATGTCCCTTACTAGAGTTAGATCTCCCCTAACTAGAGAGAGAGGGGGCACGTCGTGGTTGGGGGGTTCGTGGGGGGATGGTTAAACGTGAGGGGGTTACGTCGTGGGTTGGGGGGGTACGTTGAGGGGGGGGGGGGGGGGGGGGTACGTTGGGGGGGGGGAAACTCAAGAGAAACGTTGAGTCTGGGACCTCGACCCGGGAAGACCGCTCAAAAACCGCTCAAAAACCGCTCAAATCTTGCTTGAAAAACCGTTCAAAAATCACCGCAAGAAATGAGCGGTTTTTGAGCGGTTTTTTAAGCAAGATTTGAGCGGTTTGAGCGGTTTTTCTATAAAAAAAAACCCGCCCAAACCGCCCAAACCGCTCAAACCGCTCAAATCTTGCTGGAAAACCGCTCAAACCGCCGAAATCTTTTAAGGAAAATAAGAAACGTAATTTTCTTGACTTTTTTAATTAACGATAAAACAATGAACGACCTATAACTTTGCACTTAAGGTCTTCAATTTTTTATTTTAAAAAATGATTATTAAAAATTGTTTTCAGAATTGAACCAACAATCTTTTTTTGAAAAATGATTTTTGAAAAAATGATTGCTAAACAAAAAAAACCAAAATGGGCCCAAGTATCATAAACTCTTATGGCTTTTTCTGTAGTACCCGAGTGATTGCTATTTTCCAGCGCTGATTCATGTATGATTCAGAGATTTTTGCACAGCTAAGCCTACGATCTTTCAGAGATATTTGAGTAAAGATTCTTTAGAAAATCAGCCGCTAAAATTTCAGAACTTCTAGTAGCTTTCAAATTGGACTGCGAGTTGATAAACCCTGTAAGTTCAAATTTCACTCCTCGCACGTATCGTATACATGTCCATTAGGCTGAATGATGTGGGAGCTAAGCCCAGGAGATCACTAGCTTTGCTCATTTTGATAGGTTTTTTAACGCTGTTTTACAGCTGAAATTTAGCCGAATTGGCGATAATCTATCAATAAATTTTGCTAATGTGGCTAGGAATTTTGTGGCAAGGAACATTATGATGTGAACACAACCCGGGTATTTTGCTATATTAAATATTGTTTTAATAAAAAAACAGAACTGTTTTTTTTTGATTTTCTGACGTTTGAACCAAATAAAGAAAGTCACCCGTAAAACGATCAAAAATTGATCAACTCGATTTAGACGCGTTTAAGAATGTCACTTGAGAAATCCATTTTAATCTTTTCTAAATCGATTAAAATACATTTTTGGCAAATATATATGGTTACAATGTCATACGGATTATAGCAACAAGAAATGGATTTAAATCAGTTTTTACCCACTTTTGTTGATTCATTTTATACAGATCATGATCAGATGTTGTAGACTATCGAACCAAAAAAAAAATTTGAAATAAAGTTATTGAATATGATTTACTATTGATTTTTCGGGTTGATGTTTGAGCTGAAAAAAAACTGTTAGTGTAAGAGAGGTGCTGATTTGTTGCACTAAAATAAAAAATCAATTATTTGTCATTTACCTGACAAACTCGAGCTTAGAGCAAAGATAATGAAAACGATTTGTAAGAAGTTTGTATAAATTTACACTTTTCTTAGAGCTGAAACCTTAAGATTTTTGCTCTCAGTAACTGGGGCAGAAATTTATCTCAAAAACAAAATCCGTCTCAAGTTTTGAAACAGAAGGAAAAATTAAGTTAAATCAACTTCGTTGAAATTTTGATGGATTTAACTTCTTTTAAACCTCTTATAATCGATTTTTATTGCCATTAATATCTGCTTAAATCCTTTAAATCTCTTTTAATTGATTTTTTTTGCCATTAATATCTGCTTAAATCCATGCTAATAAGGGCTACCTTGAACTTTTTTGCACAATGCATTATCAGAATGAAAAGCGTTACAAATCGAGTTCAATCTCCATTCTGTCAGTGAAAATATTTCTTACAGTTTAAATCCAAACATTCGAAAATTTTTTGTTAAATAGTTTGGACAAAAAACCTGTAGTCACAGAATGCGTTGAATAAACATAATTTGATGTGAATTTTTCAAACCTCGAAAATCAAAGGGATAGTAGTAGGTGTCTACTTCGAGGGTCGTTTGTTCAACTGTGAATGGTAGACCGGAAACTGACTGGTCACAGTTGTAAGTTGCTTTCACGCCCCTTTTTGCTGAGGATCCCTGAAAATGATTCTCTGATTAACTTTTCGTGATGCGATTACTTAAGCGAATATATAGCGATGTTGTTCCGACCAGGGAATATGGGGCGGAACTTTGTATTCGGGTGTGTTTCAGCTTTTTTCCACAAAAAATCAGGTACAACATACCACAAATAATTATCAGACTGGGCTGAGTGATATATCATATTAACGCTGTACTTTTCAAGATACAGCTGTTTTTTTCGAAGGTTATAAAAAAGATACCGTATTCAAGGAAACTGATTTTCACCGGATCTGTCAAAATTTGTGTGAAAAATTCAAAGTTTGTCTTAAGTAAAAAAACAATCCCGAGCGCAAATATATAACCAATTTCTTCAAAAAAGAGTTAAAATGACCTAACGGACCTTAAATTGGTCCGGGCCAGCTTCAGTTTATTAGTTTTTAGCCATTCAATTACTTTAGGCTCCAAAATCAGCTCCAAAAGAACTGCAAGTGTTGTTCTACTCAAGGCTTAAATTCAAAATAAAAAAAATAATAAAACACTCAAAAACCAAAAAAGTTATATTCAAGCAAAATTCGCTGATGTGCCTCTCTGCTTGAAAAAAGAAGTTTCTGCTATGGTATCCGAGTCAAAGCTCTCATTTTTCTGTTTTGATTTCAACTAGAAAATAGTTACGTTGGGTTACATTTACCACATCTTTGGTTTTAATAAAAAATTGCCTACAGTAGTAAAAGAAGTTTTGCAAAAAAAACGTGTACTTTTAGTCTTCCGCCCAAATTTGCAAATCTCAAAATACAAATACAGAATTAAAATGATCTAATCTGATTGGTTAAAATTGAACTCATTTGTCAATAAAATTGACTGAAATTGCGTTGAAGAGAGCGGAGTGTTTTATGTAAAATGGGCGGAATAAAAAAATAGACTAAAAAAAAACTAAAAGTTTTTGAGTTGCTTTTACAACAGTTTTGTCGTTTGTGACAATTCGGTAGCGCAAAAGTAAATTGCTGTTGTTTCAGTTGTTTGTTTTCAGGCGTAAAATTAACTATTTCAAAAATTGCATGTTTGCTCTTCTGGGTGAGAAACTGATAAACATGCAAACTTTGAACATGCAAAATTTTTTGATTTTTTTCTTTTATAAACTCGTTTCACTTGTAACCGGTTTTTGCTCGTTGCTCAATTCCTTCCACGTTTTCTTGTTTTGAGACAATTTTTTTAACGAGTACTCACGGAAGCTGGTGTTCCTGGATACGTCACTGTTGGCACCAGGCCAGTTTGATCGACTACGCACGTCTAAATAAAAATCGCTTGAATCAATTTTGGAAAACAACGGTCAAAGGTCTGGTGTATGCTCAAGATGATTAAAAATTTGGAGATGTCCATAAAACTCCAGTAAACTTTAAAAAAAGCTAGCATTTAAAAAAAGCTAGCAAAAAATTACGAAAAAAAATTCTTCGCAGAAGTTTTTCAATTTCGGTTTTATGCTTTGTATGTTTCGCTTATTTGACATCAAATACCATTGTTGCCTCGGGTTGTCACCAAACATTGAGTGAAGACATTGATATAGGTCGTGAAAACTTGTCAAATGTATAGCGCGTGTGAATTTTTTTTTCATGAAACATTTGATCACGCTCAAGTTTGATAATTTAAGTTCTGAATTTTAGTTTTGATGAAAGTCATTTAACTCAAATAAGTTTGAACAATTTCATGTTTATTAAAAAAAAAATTTATGAAACTCCAGTGAACTTCAAAAAATAATTTTCGATCTGGTTCCTGCAAATTAGTTTATTCATCATAAAAAAAACTCAACCATCCAAATACTAAGTTTTAGAGAGCTTTAGAAGACTCAAACATTTCTGAATAATTGTTAAGCTTTTTTTACATTCAAAATTTACCTATGTTAGTTTTTTTTTCCCACGTTGTGCTTCATCTTCCTTTCATTTGTTGTGCTATTGCGACGCGACAATTCAAAATTAAAAATGGCTTGGAGTTTGTCTATCAACCCTACTGGGCAAGTGTTCTACACAAATTGCTGATAATAGCTTACAAAACCCAGGTCAAAACCGCTGAGATAATCAGAATATAAATAATAAAGCTTACAAGGTTACCTCACGGTTTTAGTTTGAGATTGGCACTGAAAGCACAACATCTATAACTCACAACATCTATAACTTCAAAGACAACTCGCTATTTTGTCCGTTTCAACTGAGTTAGGACCGAAGTGTATAACTCATAGAGTAATTTCGGATAGGGTACACCGTCTGCTCGTCACGCTATCTTATTTTCGGCCGGATAGATTCGTGCAACTTCTTAGTCTAATACCGATCCTAATCTTACTCTTATACTGTCTAGTCTCAGGTTGTTTAACTAGTCTCTGCTAGGCTCAATAGATCTAGGGTATACTGGTTTATTGCGGCTGCTGAAGTACTCGGGAGAGTTCAACTAATTTCTAAGTTAAATTCAAATCTCTCTGGTGCTGAAATTACAAGTAACTTCAGCACTTACAAATAAGTGGGTTGTTAGTTAGATGGATCATGATTGGTTAATATTAAATACTTTACATTGGTAAAATATCTAATTTATCCAATCATAAAATGTAGTTTAGATCAGGTTCCACCCATCCGGGTTTTACAGAGTTTTTTAGAACAGTTCTTCTGTAATTCGAAGGATGGATGATGGACGTTGGTATTTGGCGAACATCATAATTTTCTTCCGTTTCTTCTTTGTTAAAGAAGTTCCAGGAAGCTGGAGTTAGGGACATAAGACGTTGTGTCTTCTTGTGACAACGACTGAGTCTCTGCAACAAAATCAATTCTGATTTCAGAATGGTTGGCTATGTCAGGTTTTTCTGTTCTTCGAGGAGAACTTCTTTTGTGTCTGATCTAGCTTGGGAATGGCGTGGAGATTGTGCGTGGAGGGGATGCCTGGTTACTCGGATCTGTACGTATACTTGAACATCGAGGTGGTCATTGGTCTAGTTCAATGAAGTCCTTTTCTGCGAGGTCAAGTCGTACTCTAAATCCCTTGAGTTGTGATTGTGAGCGGCATATCGATTGTAGTTGGTCATTCTCTCTCGAGTGTAGTGGGGTCGTTTTGTCTTTTGATGTTCGTCCTTGGTGTTTTATTCTGATCTATGTATTGCATAATGTAATTTACATTTTATAAAACTTTTATTAGTTTAATATTTTTTAATTATGATTTTAGTTAGTTGTTTTCACAAAAGTTTTTTGTTTTAGTTTGGTTATTTTGAAGAGTTACTCACCCTTGAGTAGCTCTTATTAAAAATAGGAGTGTGGTCACAAAGCGTGGATGTAGCGCGGTGGGTTAGGCCGGCTATAGAGCATGCTCAGGACGTCCTTCCTGGTGGGTTAGGCCAGGAGTGGGAGTATGATTTCATGCGGTTTTTGTGAGGGGTCCTGTTATGTGACAACGTTTTATGTTGGGTTTGTTGTGGTCTTTCTTATGTCTTGTTGGTTATGTCCTTTTTCCAAAAATCAAATTGTTTGTGGTATGGGTTTGTCTTTCGACTTTTTTGTGTTTTATTATTTCTTTCTGAGACTTTATAATAGTCTTCAAAAGAATAAATTATCCAGTTTTAAACTGGGTTAATCCGGTTTGGGTACCGTTGGTTTCCTTTTCTTAGTCATGCTGTTATTCTATGATTTGTGGTATTTAGTAAGCTGCGTTGGTTAGTTTTGTTTAGTATATGATTCCTTTCCAACCGGGTTAAAGGAAAGTTTGAAACATGTTATCTTATGTTAGAGTTGTTGAGTGTGAAAACTTGAAACTGAAATTCATTATTTTAAACAATTCTTCGTGGGCGAGCTGTGCGAGTGTGGATAGAATTTCTGTGCGAATGAATGAGAATATCAAAAGGTTAGTACTGCATTTGCATTTTATCAATTTACTACATAGAATTTGGAAATTTACTGCTAGTTATGGGGGAATTTTAAGTTACAAATTTTCATCATAATTAGATTTACTGCTTGTGGGGAAAATTTTATAAATGAATTTACTGCATTGGTATTAAATTTATAAATTTATAAGTGTAAGAGATTAATAGAATTTTAAAATTGTTTGATGAAATTTGCGATTTTTATTTGTCTTTTGTGGTTTTTGTAGGTGATTGTCGGATGAAGGCTAAAAATCTAAAGAAAACATGGATAAAGAATGGTGAGTTTTTAATATTGTAATTAGTTAGTAATATTCATTTAATTCATACTTACCTGTTAGTCGTCGGGGAAAAAACCGTGGGGGAAGATGTCGTGGATGAGATCTGAAGTTGTTAGTAGTTTAGCTAAGATGCGGATGATGTTTTTAGTCTGAAGTAGTGGCCAAAGCAATTGAAGTGCCTTAATGGTGGTTAGTTCTTCAGTGCCAACTGCAAACTCATAAGGTGTGTTTTGGATTAGGTTATATAATTTGTGATTGAATTTAGTGTTGTGGATGAATTCTAATATTGGGATTTCTATAGGTTGTACAAACTCGTGCGGGATAAGGAAGGGTCGGTTTTCGTCGGCGTTGAAGGTCTTGATGATGGGACAGAAGATGTACATTTGGGTTATGGGATCATAATTACGAAGAATACCATGGAGGTTAGTATCTTTAATGCAATATGTAAAATTTAGGAAATATGGTGAAGTGTATTTTGAATTAATGAATTGAAAACGATGGTGTGGTTGTCTAGAGGGTGTGTGTAGGTCAAAGTGATTTTGGATGAAACGATAATAACTGTATGTGTGGGTTTGTTTAGTGCGCAACATAATATCGTGTGAGCAGTGCAAATCTCTTTCGTGTGGTGCAAGGAAATGAAAGGTTAGTGAAAATATTTGGAAGCGTTCTTTAAAACTTTCGTATGCTTGTGTGTCTGTTAGTGCTTCTGAAATAATGTGGTCATACTTACGGTCGAAGATGTTTAGTGTAAATACATATGGTGTCTTGATGAAAAATTTCTCGGTGATTTGTGGATTAGCGAAGCGATCGTCGTCTAAGAATTGATCTTGGTTAGCTCTGATGATGTTGTGATCATAGTATTCTAGTGTATATTCATTAGCTCTAGGTGCAGTGTGTATTTTTAGTGATTTTTTATATCCAATGTAAGTAAATTGTCTAGCGGTTAGTGGTGTAGTGAGTCGATATAGCATGTCTTTATTTCGCTCTATATCGATGTGAGTGCTGGATAAAGGTAAGCAAAGAGGGTTAGTAAAATGATAATATGAGGTCCAAGAGAGAGTGGGCATTAAAACGTATTCATCTACAAAGTTGCGTGTTTCGTTAGTGTCGTGAGGGGTGTTTAAGGTGTATTGTGGGAATGAGGGTAAGGTGATGGCTAAAAATTCTTTTGTGTTAGTATGCTTGGGATGGTTGATGTATTCACGGGCTGTTCCTGGTTTTGCTGGGAAAGGATGGTTGGGGAACTTTCTTTTAAAGGTGCGATAAGCTCTATTAGTGTTGAGTGAAGATTCAGTGGATGTGGATGACGGTGCTAATGATTCAGTATAATTTGAAGAGGGTGTAGGGGTAGGGGGGTTGGATAAATTTATTGTGGAGGAGATTTGGTTTATGGTTGGGGTATGAAGGTGGTAGGGTTGTTGTTGGAGGGTAATAAAATTATCTAGCTCTGGGGAGATTCGGGGGGTGTCTGGAGAATGCGATGATTGGTCAGAATGATATGGTTGGGGTAACTTGGGAAGCATAAGAGGGTGTGGAAGTGATTGGGTCAGGGTTATTGGATAATATGGGTTGAAAAGGGGGTTGAGAAAAATTAGAAGAGTTATGGAAATTATTGGATGGGGATGGTTCTGAATCGGCAAATTCATCGGGGGTTTCAATATTCGGGTTATTGAATTGTGAGATGGAATATAAAACTGAGATGTGTGAATTAGTGTCGGAATTCATGCCTGATGTTACATTACTAGATGGAAAATCGGGTGGCGGAAAAGCAAAAAGTGGTATTATTGGGATTGGAGAGGTAAGATAGGTTGGGTGGGAATTTGATCGGTGTAGTGATCCAAGTTGTCGGCTCATCGTGGGCTAAAAAAATTATTATTTTGAGACTGAAAAGCGGTGGTATGGGGTTGTTCAATAATTTGTTCATAAGTATTATCATCTTGTGACTGGTGTGTCATTATATGTTGGATGGGACTTTGTGATGTGGTGAGTCGAAAATTTGGATTATGTGTGATTGCTAAATTTCGAAAATTTTGTGGGCTTAGGGATAGTGGATGGTTATGTGGTAGGGGTGGTAATTGTGGTGCCGTTGGCGTTGTGTCTACATTGTTATGTTCTTCGTC